CAAAAAATGGTTTTCAGCTCAGGTTTCGTCGTTGTATTCCGGCAGCCACTATGGTGCTTCCGCTGAGTCGTCTTGGCCTCCTTGAGTACCGATAGAAAGTCATGTTCGATTTCCAAGTTGATCCATTTGGATTCAAACGTGTTGTGCAAAAGACCTCTGCCAGCTTACGATACGAGAAATACAACACGCTGCGCCTCAAATATAACGATGAGATCAGCAATGAGAATGACCATCCTTCCGGTCCAAATGTCGTGGAGAATCGCATGGACAATTTATGGGTAGAATTTCCAAAGATCCAAGCCATATGTAACTCGTCACAATACTATGCTATGTACATCATTGTGTTGGATCTGCTTATGTATAGCGAGCCTCTGGAAAAGACTAGGAATGAACGGCTCGAAAAGATTATGCTCGCGTCTGACTTCAGCGACTTGCGTGGGGCTCCCGAGATGGTCACTCGACTTCAAGAACGAATTAGACAGCTTGATGAGATCAAGACACAATTCCAAATCCATTCAAAGTCGCTTGATAAGAAGGGTTGGGAGGATAGAATCACGCTGGATAGGGATCTTGCAGCCTGTGAAGATGAATTGTTTTTCATGATGAAGGCTATTACAACTTCTCAGCGAAAGTATGATGGCACACAGGCTAGCGGTCTCTTACGATGGAACATCTCTTCTGACCAAATCGTCTGGCATCTAATTCGTGATAATAACGAACCCTTGATGGAATTTCAAATCCAGCATGCCGAATATGATCGAACCGATAACTCCGACGGTTCACATATCAATCTAATGCAGATCGGAAACATTGTAGGACTCAATCTGATGCCTGATGCCATCTATCCAGAGATGTTTGCCCCATACTTTGATGTCGAACGAGGAGCATTCAACGAAGGAGGAAATCAACAAATGCTGAGAGTTTACTGGTACATGTTGGAAGCCATTGCTGGTATACCGGTGATGGACCATTTCGAAGTTAACCTTTTCCCAATGAAGATCCAACTTGAACGCGAGGTTGGTAAAAGGCTTTTCGAGTACATGTTCCCAGGGCACAATGATGACAAACCTAATGCCAATAAGACCAAATCTCCGTTCATGGTGAAGAACATGATTCCGGTGGATGATGAAGAGGATGGCAACGACACCACGGGTAACAATTCAATCAACTTACAGGTCACTGATGTGGATAATGGCGACCCTACCTCGAGCACGCGACCGGGATCATTGGAGCTTCGATTGCATCCAACAATGACGTCCGAATATAGGCCAACAACAGCTTCATCTACCAAAAGTAAGGCGAGCAGTATGCTTTCAGGTTACAGTGGTGATAGCCACCATTTCAGACTCTTCCAATCCAACAAGAGTTCTACGGCGTCAAGAGGCTCATCCACAAAAACGGCAGTTTCAAAGAAGCCTTCACTTGAAAGCTTACAGTCTGGTCAATCATTGAAGCCAACCGTGACACGAACAAGCACTAACGCATCAGCGAATGAGCAAGGGTCAACAAACGGCGATCAAAAAGGCAAGCGATTCGGTATTCGTGGTGCAGGCAAAACACGAAAAGACAAACCATCGGATGACCTGACCAAAATGATGAGCCGTGCATCCGAGTACATGACGCTTGCCTATGTCAAAATTCCTAGTGTGGTTCTTTGCCTCAGTTACAAGGGTAAAGGCGAGCGCAATATTGAGGATGTACATGACTTTGTCTTCCGCTTACCCATGATTGAATACCGGAATAAGACCTGGTCAAACCTTGACCTGGCCCTTGCTCTCAAAAAGGATGTCATTCGCGCGTTGATATCACACACTGGAGCCATCATCGGTAATAAATTCAGCAAGCATCGTCCCAACATAGCACAACAAAGTCGCTTGAGAGAACTAGCCACAAGTAGTGTAGTCCTCAGCCAGCCACCATCAACTGCCGATGAAGCATACGAGACCAGCGATACGAGTAGTATCTTCGCTACCAGTCCAACCGAGACCCGTCACTCCGATCGATCAGCAAGTCGCCAAACTGATCGATCCAAAAGCGGCGAAAGAAGAAAATCATTCGCATCTAGTCGAAATGGTATAGAGGGTCCAGCAAGTGGCTCCAGTAGCGTTTACTCCGGTGTCTCTCAAGCTTCCAGACCCCCATATCAAGCGTCTTTTACGATGACCCCGGCGAGTAGGGAATATGATGATGATACAAGGTCGTTGAGACCATTTAGCAGGAGTGGTGGGGTGGACGGAAATACGATTGAAAGGCCGCATTCCTCTGCCGGCGCGTTTATGGCGAGTACGTTCCATCGGTTAAAGAAAAACCCGCTGCAGCATAGGGATGCAATTAGCAGTAGCCCGAGTTTGATTGAGGGACATGAAAATGGAAACGCAGATGGGAGGGAGACAAATGAGGATGCGAATGTAGATACAGTGGATGAGGCGCCTAAAGGAGGAAGGAAAAAGGCCAAGTCATTGCTTGGGCGATCACAGTGATTGATTTTGAGATTGCAAGGAAAAGGAAAGGAAAATAGGGCTGGAGGAATATTCAATTCTTTGATTGTTACCGCTTTTTTGTACACTTTACGTGTTCTGTTTGTCTAAATCTAGCGTGCATTGCAAGGTGTTTAGATGTTGGCGATTTAGGGAGGAAGGTGTTGATTTGGATTTTCTTTCCGGGGAATTTGGTGGGAGTGGAGGAGTGATTGGAGGTGTTGGGCGAGGTTAATATTTTGACATTACATTACATTACATACATGGGAAACCTTGAACAAGTTTTGAAGGGTTTAGAAGATGGAAATATTTAATGGGTTAGGAAGGGATTGCGGTATGGAAATGGATGGATGGATGGGTGGGTGAAAAGATAGATGGATGGGTGGGTAGATGGGGAATGGATGGATGGAAGAAAAGGGTTTTGTATCATAGTATGGAGTATAGATTGGAGGTTGGTAGATACTACTACTGTACTGTAGGTAGATGAGAGACTTATATGAAGAGGTTTGGGTTGTAATGTTGTTTTTTTGATACGGGTGATTGTATTGTATTGTATTGTGGTTTGATTGATTTGGTGTTTTTTTTGGTGTCTTGATGGGGTTGGAAAGAAAAGTCTTATTATGTTTTATATTGGGCTGGTTGGAGGTGTATGGATTGTGCTAGTGAAGTGTATGATGAAAGATAGGCTAGTAAGAAGCTCCATCCTAGGCGGGTGGCGGTAAACGGTGGCAGAATGAGCTACCTAGCACAGTGCCTAGTAGATTCTTTCGTAAACAAGTCCTGGGATGTTAGGATATCATCTATTTGAAGGAATATAATTCAGAGCATTCATTTCAGGATTCTTCAAATTCCATCATTGATTGTATAGTAGGTATATCTTCATGTTCAATTTCCTAGTACAGAAGCCCCTCATGTTCTTGGGCTGTGGCTAGCTAGCATTATTATCCACCTACTTAGGTCCTTGTAATACACACCACACACAAATCGCACTTCGAACCAGCTGGTGAAATATCAAATATGGCACGATCGATCATTGCAGTGGAATAGCATCAACTGTTATCTTTACTTACTCGCAGTCTTTCCATTCCTTTCTGTCGTCGGTTGCTTGTTGTCTTGTCCATCCATTTCCTGTTCCCATTCACTCGTTTGCAATTGTTCCTGCGGTCCAATGAAATCCGTTTGCTCTCTCACCAATCAGCCTTCCTGACGTTGCAATTGTATCGCGTTTTATCCCGTTTGTTCCGTTTGATTTTGCGCCCGACAGACTCAGCTACTACTCTACATACATACAGGCATCCATGAACCTTTGGCACATTCGAGGCGGAACTCGTTCAGACATACAGAAAACCCCGCCTTCAAAGACGCATCTATCCGTCTGCACGCAACTGCGCGAAACCTGATCGAGGCACACATAATTTTGCATTCGAGATTGCAAACGCGCATGCCGGAGGGCTTTCATATACGGAGAAGGGTTTGAAAGAGGTTGCGTATTGTACATTCTTTCAAGGAGAATTCTCACATAATGTCTGCGGCACCGAAGACGCCAGGTTTGGCCGGCAAGATTAGAGCAGATGAGGAGATCAAAGGCATTTACGATAGCCTCAATGGGCGATGGGACTTGGGTCTTCTACAGCGGGGTCTCGATTCACCCGGGAATCGAAAAAATAGATGCAAATCCTTACAACAGGAATTGGTTGACGAGATTATGTTCAAAATCAGATATCTGTACTTCAAGAATCTTGTGTATACTCTTCTTGAATCCTTCAATACGCAAGCTCAAGCTCTGTACAGTGGATGGGTCTATAAACCCAAGGCTGATCGAGGCGTGGTACCAGAAAAAACACGCCAAAGGCCTCACCCAACTACGTCCGACGAACGAATGGAATTGTTAAAGTGCTTGGTGTCGATTCTAAATACTGCATTTGAAAGTTGTCAGTCAGGGTCCGCAACACCTAGCTCCCGCGGTTTCCAACAAGGTATCTCGTTGAACGAGAAAGCTAATGCATCTGTCCACTCTATCCGAAATACACAACCTGACGACAGTCCTGTTGCTTTTCCGCTTAAGTCTGCCCAGAAGCTTGATGGCAAGCGTCTCCTTGAGCCATTTTCAGATATTAATACCAGTACCAAAAAGACAAAAACGCCGGCGAATAAATCCTCTGCCCGCGAAAGCCTTTCTAAACTTCCACTACAATGGAATGTATCTCGGCCTCAAAACACAAAGCCAGCTCTATCCAAGATGGTGCCGTTGAAAGGGGATGCAACCACAAAGGTTGATACTAGTTTTACTACAGACGTCTCTGGTGTGTTTTCACAGGGGTATAGTAGCACTCTCGTCAATACTCAATCTACAGTTCCGGATCCAGATCCAGAGCTGGTGATGAAAAAATTGCGTACAAATTCCATCTCATTAGATGAGCAAGAACCAAAAACACAAAGCTCTGATTTTGGTAGCAGTTTTGATACTACTGAGGCCGATAGGGTGTATGCTGAAAGCTTTGGTGCTATGGCTCCATCACAAGATCCACCCAAGTATGATGTAATGGATGATTTGGATGAAGAGATGTCCGACGAAATGTTAGATCAAATCGTGGATGATTCTAAACACAAAGATACGGAGAGTTGTTTGAACGAAATGCTGCGTGAGTTATCTTCTATGTTCATCTGCAGCGCTAAATACACGTTATGATCACATTTAAACCGGGGCTTCAAGATTGCTAATACCTCATCACAGCCACATTACCATCTTGTCTGAAAAAGGCCCCATTTTTCGTTAGTTACGAAATTACTCGTGTTTTTCTCTTCGTCCAGGTCCCAATGGCCGGCTTCACTTTGCCATACGTTAAGGCATGGGAAGAATATGACAAATTCTGGAATATGTTGAAAGGTCTTCCCATACTTCAAGGTAAAAAGTTTCCGGAACGATGCCCACGGAAAGTTTGGGATATTGCTACAAAAGGATATATTCGTGGTTTCAACGGCTTAGTCTTTACCGCGACTTTACGTGAAAACAAGACGGAGTTCGGACCTCTGATCTCATTTCATCTCCAACCCATGAAATTGGATTTGACCAATCGTCTCGAACGTAGGTTTGGGAGTGATAGATTTATTGAGTTTGCGGTTCCCGATTTGGAAAGTATGAAACGTGGTTCTCCGGCGTTTAAAGTAGATCCCAATGCATGCGATGCGTTGAAGTCTTGGCTAGTGAATGGAGATCATCAACTGCTGGGTAGGACGTATAAAGCATTTTACGTTACGAGTGGTAAAAGGAAGAGGAAGAGTAGCTTGAAGTCAGATGCCGAGGAGGAAAGTTCCGCAACACCCTATCGTGCCTTTCTCTTTGCAACTGATGGTATTGGTTTTGTTAAAGGGAGTAGAGCGAGGAATCCGGCTCCTCAGGTCCGTGTTCGTATGACAGTTGGGGAGATGCTGAATTGTATACGGCCAACTGCAGAGAATGATTATCAACCTTATATGAAGCTATTTGCGAGAACTGCCTTGGGTAAGATTGACATCTTTTGGCTCATCCTAGTTTAATTTCATGAGTTTTCTATTTGCTAATCACCAGACAGTTGTCTCTAGGAATCGTGCTACTGTTACTGTCGATCAGGCTCACATTAGAAGGCGGGAGGATATCAGAAATCCAGACGTAAATAATCCCAAAAAGACTTACGTCATGACAGATGGTGCTGGTAGACTTTCGTTAGCCTTGGCTAGGAAGATAGTATTCGAGCTCGAGTTATCATATATACCAGCAGCCTTTCAGGGCAGATTTGGTGAAGCAAAAGGTCTTTGGATTGTTGATCGTAGCGAGGATATTGAAAGCGATTGGATTGAGTTATATGACGAACAATGCAAATGGGAACGTGGGGAAGAGGGTAGTCCTGAGTTTGACCATTGGTCCCATCGCACTTTTGAAGTGGTAGGACATTCTGCTCCATTGAAGACGGCGGATCTAAATACTCAGCTTCTTCCACTCCTCGTGCATCAAGCTACGGATCCACGAGCAATGAGAAATGCAATTCTTAATGCATTGAAAGAAGGTCTGAAGCAGTCGCTGGAAGAGCTCAAAACTGCTTTAACCAGTCCTCAGGAACTTCGCAGTTGGATTCGGCTCACAAATTCATCAGTTCAAGATAGGGTCAAGAATGGTGCTATTCAGTGGCGTGGAGGCCTGCCAGCAAAGCATGAAGATCGGCTCAGTACACTTCTTGATGCCGGTTTTGACCCTCGAAAACTACACTACATCATGGAATTGGCCAAGAAAGCGTTTGATATGAAATGCGAGGAATTAAAGGAACGTCTTAATATCACCGTTGCTAAATCTACCAAAGTATACATGGTTCCCGACTTTTGGGGTGTTTTGGAGCCTAATGAGGTACATTTGAACTTTTCAAGTTTTGTGGACAACGAATCTGGATTGTCTGATACTCAACTGGAGAATGTGGATGTACTTGTGGCTCGAAATCCTGCTCATTACCCTAGCGACATTCAAAGAGTCACCGCTGTTAGTAAACACGAATTAAGGCATCTCAAAGATGTTATCGTCTTTTCTACCAAAGGTTATCCATCCCTAGCGGACAAATTATCGGGCGGTGATTATGATGGAGATATTGCATGGGTTTGTTGGGATCCTGCCATCGTTGAGAGTTTTGCCAATGCAGATGTCCCCAAAGTTCCGGATCTTGTCAAAGAAGGTTTTATCAAGCAAGATAAAAGGACTTACGCACAGCTGACCAAGGGTTGTTCCGATCCAACGAATACTTTCCTGTGTGCCAGCTTCGACTTCAATATGTGTCAAAGTATGCTTGGGCCGTGTACAGCTTGGAAAGAAAAGATTGAATATGACATTCGTGATCTCGATAGGCCGGAAATTACATTCTTGTCAACTTTACTTAGCAATTTGGTTGATCAGGCAAAGCAAGGTTACATCTTTACACAGAAGGATTTCCAAAAGGTCAAGAATCACATACTTAAAACTACTAGAACACCTCGCTTGCCAGCATACAAGGACAAAGATGAAGTACCAAGCAAAAAAGACCATATTCTTGATCATATGATGATGGTTGTTCACGAAGAAACGAAAGCTTTGAAAACGGAGTTTTATGATAGTGTTGACACTCCACCTCAATATGACCCTGAGTTAGCCCAGCTCTACAAGGATCAAAGAGAAAAGGCAAAGGTGCCGAAGAAGGAAACTGCGACTCCGGAGGAAATCGAGAGGGCAGCACAATGGAAATTACTTCTCGATCAACTGGATGAAGATATCAACAAGGTCAAAAACAATTGGAGTAATCGTATGCACAGTGGACTAACGCCATCCAAAAGATTTAGTCGGGATGAAGACGAAACCCGAGCAGATTTTGCCCCAATTCGAGATGAATGTTTTCAGGAATTCAGCAACATCAAACCACATGCAGAGAGCAAATTGATCTCGACATGGTTAGATCCAGACACGCAATCGCAACATGGTGATTGGGCTCTTTTGAGGGCAAGTGCCCTTTATGCTACTTATGCTCCCAAACCGTATTTCCGCGACTCCTCGGTGAGTGTGCCGAAATTGGTGTGGTGGATGGCGGGGAGACAGTTGGCGTTTATTAAAGCGAGGTTGAGTGGGCTGGTTCCTGTTGCTGGGAATATGTATGCTATGCTTAAGGCGGATAAGGGGTTTGTGAGGCAGTTGAGGGCGTGTGAGGGGGTTGGGGGTGGGGAGTTTTGTGGGGTGATGAGGGTGGGGGGATGGGGGATGGGGAGTTTGATGATGATGTTTTTGATGAGGTTTGAGGGTTTGGTGGCGAGGGGAGTTAGGGGTTGGTTATTGAGATGTGGGCTCTGTTGTGAAAGGCGTGTTGATTGATGGAAGGGTTAATTTGGGTAGGGTGTTTGGATTCTGATTTTGGTTCGATTTGGTTTGGATTGCTTTGACTTTGGATGCGTATTTGATGATTGAAGGATACTGTAACGATACTGTACCGGAGGCAGCGGCTGCCTGAGGTTTCGTCTGATTGGTAGTTGTGGGTTAAGGCTTTATCACTAGTCTTCACTTGGAAGTGAAGTCGTTACTAGATCAAGTAGAATGTAGGTAAACTAATTGATAACTAAGTTGAGCACGAAGCTCCTAAACTATGAAACTACTCTGACTATATACTGAACAATAAAGGGGGCCCCTAGAAGCTTTCTGGCTCCTCAAGACTCCTTATCACGCGATTTCTGATGGTGCGTGCGCATACGATCTTCAGGTGACCAAGATCACATACTAATTCGATGAAATCTGATCGTGTTTGCACACGGCCTAAGCTCTCCTAATTAATCAGTTTGCTACCATCGTAACACCATCAATCCTAATGGTGAATCGTGACAGATACCCATTTGTTTGTTTGTTTTGTGAGATAGGATAGGTACTTTTTGATATCACATGTCTGAAGTTGATTAACTCCACATTGGAGATTGTAGAAATGATATCTTGTTAGTTAGGTTAGTTAGGTTAGTTGGGTTAGTTAGATTAGCTAGCTCAGAAGGGGAGGAGTGAAATAATTTTCATGATGAATTATATTAATTGATTATATTATTTAGTTATTTATAAAACTTATAAAATGTTAAAAGGAATGACCTTACACAGGGAATAGTGGGAAGCTGATAGGGCAGAACTGAGGTAATATTGGTCTAGTAGGTTAATCTCTCTTCTAAGTTCTACGGAAGTGCGAAGCTCTCTTACAGAGAGCTTCTCAATCTAGTCCTAATAGGACTAGTGCCCCTGTGCACGTGCTACGCAGGAACCATTCACGTTAACAAATATATTTAATAGAAGATTTCTAATAAAAAAACCAGTGTTATTATATAAAATGACAATCTGAATATAAGATAGTAAAACACGATATGATAAAGAAGTAGGAAAGATGAATTGGTTCCTGCGTAGAGAGTGCTGCGGGGGCTGATATTATTTTGTACAGGGGGCTGGTAGGTGCATGTGATATAGCCTGCCCGTGTGACCTTGGGCAAATTTTGATATCCAGCATACCACGTTGAAATAATAACTCTCGGGCTGCGAGAGACCAGAATGCAGCTTATTCGCAGTCATT